ATCACATTGTAGTCTGATCACTGAGACTCTGGGGTTCATAGGAGAAAGTGTACCTGTCCAGCTGTCTGTTCCTGAGGTGGCCTGGCCCACTTCCTGCACATTTCCTCAGACTTTGCATGAAGCCAGGTGAAAGGGAAGAGGCCGAGATGGGTGTCCTTGGGCTCCATTAGCATTCCCAGCCTTCCTTGATTTGCAGTGAGGCTCAGGGAAGCTCTGGAGCCCACTCCGCCTGCCCCTAGGGTTGCAGCAGGCATTGCCTGGAGGAGGGGGAGACTGCTGCTCAAAGAACCTAATCTTTTGCATTCGCTGACATTCTTGGATTTGGCATTTACAACCTCAGGGTTCTATTCCAAGGAGGCCTTTTGCATTTGATGTAAATATTATGGTGATGAGAGGTGACACAGAGAATACCCTGTAGGAAATGTAAATCCACCCCCACCAGGCTGGGAGTTTCTCCCTGCTGCTGCTTTGGGTTGTTATGCAGGGGATTGATTCTTCCCAGTGCTTGGGTTAACCTAGAAGAGCCTCCCCACTTCCACCCAAAAGCAGCAGGGTCTGGGAGTTGCACATTAGTTATTTTACAATTTGTAGAACCACATTCATCCATCAATGTGAGAAGCAATTGTGGTGAGGCTGGAACCAAGTGGTGTGGCAGCCATTCTTTGAGGAGAGGGATGTCATCTCCCAGAGGAGGCTTTGGGGAGTCCTTAGCTCTGGAGGCATGGGGTTGGAGGATCCAAGCCAGGAATGGGCACGGTAGTTCTCAGAAGTCAGCTGCTCTCTGTCACTTGCTCATTGACTCCTAGTTCCCACTTGTCTCCCCGTAGAGTTTAACCCTGGATTTATGTGTCCCTCAGTAGAGCACTGGGGATGGTTCGCACCTGCAAAGAGACTTCCCAAAGTCCCTAGGAAATGATGTTCATAATCCCCACCTGCAATCATGGTAGGGAACAGCTGTCCTGAGTGGTTTGCGGGATCAAGAAGATCGCACCTGTATGCTGGTGTCTCTTTGATATACTGTGTGTTCAGGGACAAATGACTGATTTCTTTGAGCTTTGGTTTCCACATTTTTCTGATAAAGAAGATGATACCTGTGTCATAGTGTCATGTGAGGATCACATAGGATTATGTGAGTGTGTATAAGGGGCCTACCAAAGCCCTCTGTGTGAAAGAACACTCAAGAAGTGGGGACAGGTGTTGCTAGGCACAGAGGGCTTGTAAGGGGTAGTTGGACCAGCCACATACACATGCATAATCCCTATTTATTATTACGGTCAGTATGCCTACAGATCAGATTCTGGAGTCAGAGATGCAGACTTCAAATCCTAGTGCAGCCACCAGGCATTTGACTTTCCAAAGTTTTGGCTTCTTCACCTTTAAGAAGGGAGTGATAGTAAAATCCGTGTCAGATTTTGTGAAGATTAAATGGGATAGTGCCTGGCTTATGCCAACCTCTTTCTGAATGCTCCAGCAAAAATTTTTGTGTGGTTTAATGGGAAAGACTCTGAATTTGAGATAAAAAGATCTGGGTTTAATCTACTTCCATCTCTTATCTACTGTGCTATCTTGGGCAAATCACTTCTACAGAAAAGGCATAATATCACCTAGTTGTATGTATGTATGTATGTATGTATGTAGTCCTGGAGTTTGAACCCAAGGTCTTGCATGTGCTAGGCTCTACCACAGAGCTACATCGCCAACCCCATGTCACCTAGCTTTACATTGTACTGAAAAGCTTAACATTTGCATAAAGAAGATCCAAAATTATTATTTCTATAATAAATGAAGTGGAAAGGTTTGGGATCTGGAATCAGGGAACCTGTATGGCAATCTTAGGTTTATTATGTACTTTCTCTCTGTGTGATTTGGGACAAGGGACTTCACCTCCATGAACCTGGGGTTCTCTTGGTATAAAATAGGATTGTGCTTATCCCCCCAGCACTGTTGTAGAATTAAATTAGACCGTGAATATTAAAATACCTCATAAACCATAGGGCATTGTGTTCACTGTATAGTTTAATATTACTTTGCGCAGAGCCTTGGGCAAGGAGCTATGAGGGCTCCAAAGCTATTCAAAGTTCTTGGTCCTGGTCCTAGAGGAGCTATGATAGATTTGAGGACAGAAGGCACAAAATAGGGGGCAGAGCTACATGGAGATTTTACCCATTCATTAATTGCATGTGTGTTCCTAGAGTGTCTTCCAAACATTAGGTTTGAGAGGTCTACTGGAGATTTTAGGTTAGGCCCAAGGGAGAAGCTTTGAAGGCCAAGGTGAGGCCTCTGGACTGGCTGTTTTATGGGCAGAGGTTTGTGAGTGCTTGTGTGCTGTCCATACTCCTGAGTTCTCTGTGGACCAGGCTTCGGCTCCCTGAGTCACTTTCTTCAGTTACCTCTGAGGTCCAAGTGTGCAGAGTCCATTGTGAGGAGAGCATCTGAATCAGCCATTTAGTGGGTGGCCTGTCTTAAAAGGTCAGTGGCCTATCTGGCCACCACAGATGGCAGCCACAAAAGACCTGCCGAGAATCCAATCTAATACAGAAGCAAATGCTCAAGACACTTCCCCCAGGAGCAAGAGGGTGAGCTGCAAGGTGATTTTGCTGCTGTCACAATCTCCCTTTAGACACAGCCTGTCCTCGAGGGCAAAAATAGCTCCATAGGCAGGAGAGTGTTGTGACATCATCCCCAGGTTCAGCCAGCAAAACCCACTCCAGACTGCTGGTCTCTCTTGCCCCTTGGATATTTGAGCTAAGGCCCAAAGGAACAAAGTTGGTGGCCCTGAGACCCCTTCTGGCCTCTTGGCCCCAGTTCTGGGCTCTGTCTACAAACAAGTCTTTCCCCACTCCAGCTTTTAGCCCCCAGGTGAAGTGGAATGCACTCAGCAACGCTGTGGCTAGGACTCCGGCCGCCTCCAGCTCGCTGGGGCTGAGTGCTGCTGCACACCTGCAGGGGTGGGAGCCATAGGCTGGTCTGGAGATGCTGGGTGGCGCCTGGCCTGGAGGCTGAATTGAGGGACAGACACTCTGTAGTCCCTGGGAGGTGGGCGGAGGGGAGGGAGGTTCACAGGGAGAACGAGGAGTTTGTGCACAGCTGTGTCTGTGTCTGTGTGTGTGTGTGTGTGTGAGTGTCTTGTAGCAGGAGAGGGCAGGCAGGAATGGGGAGTCCACAGCCTCCACTGATTAGAAGGGTTTTGAATTTGATAAATTACTTTGTATTGGGGCAAAATGATTTGACCAGATTTCAAATGTCTCAGAGAAGGGAAGCTTCTCTTGGGCCAAGTATTGATTGCATTTAATAGAGCTGGGACTTTCTCACTTAAAAACAACAAAATAAACATCTAAGAGAAGGCACTAACTTACTGCTCTCTCTCTCTCTTTCTGATCTCTCTACCTAAGAACAGGAAAAGATCCAGAGACCTACCCAAGCCCAACCGGGGTTGGGGGGCAGTGCTGATGTTGAAGCCATGGAGCTCCTTTGGGGCAGATTGATGGTAGGGGCTGGAGACAACAGGGGGCTTTGGGTTGGTCCCATTCTTCACGGATTGATTTTTGCCAAACAGGGACTGTCAGAGCCTTTGATAAATCACTAACCCAAGTGATGAATACCCTGAGGCTGGGTGGGGTGGGGGGAAGGATTCTAATCTGGGAGGCTGCCCAGGAAAGAAGAGGGGTAGAGCAGAGGACTGGTAGACAGAGGGAGCCAGTGAAATTAGCCCTAGAAATTCTGTGTGCAATCTCCAATACCTTGTCTCTCAACAAGATTTGACCGCAATCATGAACTCAGCAGCACTTCAAAATTCACTTTCAGCCTGTCTCTCGTCTGTCTCTTGCTGTCTGTCTCACTGTCTGCCCCTTTATCTGGTTTCCAAATGGACTCTGATTGGTTCCTCCCAGGAGAGGACTCTCTCAAGCTTCCCAGAAAATGGAAATGTGGAGTAGGGCAGGTAGCAAGGGTGGGCTTGGCAGTGGGGACTGAGAGGAGATGGGGAACGTGCCTCAGGAAAGGTATGGGGTGAGCGGCAGCAGAGGCCAGCACCAACAGAGGGTGGAAGGGAGTCGAGCAAATACAGACGTGAGTTTGTAGGGCAGCCCTTGCCAGAAACAAGTTGGTTTCCAGGCAGTCTTATTCTTCATGGAGAGAAAGGTCATGCCATGTGATTCTCCTTCCCTCCCTCAAAGCAATGAGAACAGAGATCTGCCTCAGCTGCGCTCCCTGAGGAATAGCAGGAAGTGTGGAGGGGGAAGGAGATCAGCTCCAAGATGCTGAATTGATCTCTCATCACGACCAGAGCCTGGCTTGAAGACAGACCAGAGCATAGCCTATAAGTTTGAATCAGCTCCGGATGACCTTGGACATGTGACTTAGCCTGACTCACCTTCTGGTTCTTATTTATGAAATAGGAAAATAGAATAGGCTCACGTGAAGCTTATCTTAATGAAGACTATATGATATGCCATCTTGATTGATATAAACCTGGGTTTGGCCTGTAGCAAGCATTAAGGAAATATTAGCTAGAAACATTACTGTTCTTCCAGGTTGCAGCATGCCAGATTCAGAAGTCCAAAAATTCAAAATGTATCGACCATTCTGTAATCATGAGAATCCTAGCTCTGTCTGAGAGTGGCAAGCTCCTGAAACTGTCCATCGATAGGCCAAGCTAAGTCTCTGACCCTTCTGTCAACACTGATGTACCACAGGAAAAGGCCTCCACTTCCCCCTCTGTATGGAGGCTGGAACCTGGCCCTCCACAATCCTGCTGGGGGTGGGGGTGGGGCTCCTGGCTAGTCCCAGGTGTCGGCCCTTGCGAGTGGATTCTCTCCTCTCCCGCTCTACACAAGGCCGCGCCCAGCTTTCCATCCTCCATGGCCCTGTCCATGGTGCTAACCCACATCCCATCCCAAGACTTCCGTAGGCCTCCCAACCTCAACCCTCCACCCCTGCCCCCAACGTGGACATCTCAGAAGATCTCCCCAGTCACCAGGAATGAATTCTGAGCTCACGTTCTGGAATGCTGCCAGGAAGGAAGCGGCGTTAGTATAAAGAATCACACAAAAGGCCGCAGGTAATTATGTCTCTTTTAAGATGCTAACAGGATTGGCCGTTTGATAAATGGGAGGATTTGAGGCTGTTTTGTCACTGACAAGCTGTTGTAAGATCATATTGGAAGCTGAAGACAGTTTATCTTCATGTGTGTGGCGGAGAGAGGGGAATTCTCCATGGATTTTACACCCTCTTCAAATTAATGTGATTTCCTAGGCCGAAGCCGTGCACAGGAGTGAGTGATCTTTATGACTCACCCTCTGATTAGATTACCTGGCTCAGCAGCCACCTCCAGCCCCTCGGAGTGCCCTCAAACTCCCCAGGCCCATCCCTGCTCCCCTCCCTCCAGCTCCCCTCTGACCTCATGGCTCCTCTCCTCTAGCACCTCTTCTCACGTCCAGCTGCAGAGTGAGCCCACAGTTCAATTACTGCTGGCTCGCCTGAGAGACAGGAGGATCTAGGTTCTACAGTTCCTCTGGAGGGAGCAGAAGCGAGGGAAGTGGGTTGGGAAGGAAAGGAAGGCAATGGTGGGGGAAGGGAAGCAGCACAGGAGAGGAGAAATGAGACAAGGAGGGAGTTGAAACAGAGACTGGAGCTGAGCCGTAGATAAGAAAGAAGAGAGACAAAAACAGTGGAGGAAGGGTTGTTTCTTTTCTCTCTAGAACATTCCTTGGAACCACAGACACCAAGGTGGTCTCCTTTCCTAGACCACCCAATTAAGCAGGGCTTCTGGGCATTCTCTACTTGGTTTGTCTTCTTCGTAGCACTTAGCACTATTGTCTTGTTTGCTTATTTTTCGCTTCTATTGTATTTGTCTTGACTCTCAATTTATAAGACCAGTTGAGCAGTGGTCATGGCTGCCCTGGACTCCAGGATCAAGCACTCAGTAAGTTCTTGGTAAATGTTTATGAAATGTGCAAAAGGACAGGGATTTGGAAGGAGGTCTGATGGGCCAGGGCTGGTTTGTCCTCTGGCCAGAGATCTGGAGGTGAGTGGGAAGCTTCTGGGTACTGGTTTGGATCTCTGAGGTCACCATCACTGGCTGGATTTGAAGAGATATTTCTGGGGAGGGAGTGCTTCAGTAGTTCTTTGGACAGAATTAAGCATCCTTTGGAACAAAGCAGGTATGAAGCACGTGCATCAGAGTCCTCTGGGGGGTTTATTGTCATAATCATTCCTGGGATCCTGGTGTGGTGGGTCTGAAGACCACACCTGGAGAAAAACTTCTGAGAAGGGAGCTGTGGGCCCTGGTCATGGGGACATCTCAGCAAAACCAAGGACCTGGGGTGTACAGTGTGTGTGTGTGTGTGTGTGTGTGTGTGTGTGTGTGTGTGTGCTGGAGGGGTGGTGGCTGGAATGCTTGCAATGACATAAAGAACCTGAAGTCCATTATTTCTATCCGGTTGCCACCTCATTCCACACCGCCACTTCAGGCTACTTGTGGGCAAAGTTCAAGAGTGAGCTCACCTTCTGGGAACAGTCCCCCCACCCTACCCAGAAGCTTTGAAGAAGAGGAAGACAGCAACAGATGTGAGGAGGAAAAGGAGCTCTCCCTGCCCCACGCCCAGGGGCCTCTGCTCCTTCCACCCACTGAGGGGTCTGCAGCTGGAAAGCCATGCCTCATTTCCCAGGCAAGCTGTGTACTCACCCTCAGGCCCCAGGCCAGGCTCCCCCCAGCATCTTTTAGGGACCTTCCCTAGACTTGTCAGCAATCTATGCTTCAGGATTGATTGGCTGCTACCCCAGCATATCATCCTCATCCCGCTAAACGCACCCCTCAGACTTCACAGCTCTATCACGCCAGACACAGGCAGGATCCCCAAGGGTTCCTGACACAGCAATGAGCACTCGGGGTGAAGGGCAGTGTGCCCAGCACTGAGCATCTCCACGCTGGGCCCCAGCATGGGCCTGAAGAGTATGTAGACAAAGACCAGCCAGTTGGAAAAATAGCTCACCCCCATCTCACCTTTGCCCAGTAAAACCAAGGCTACCACCTTCTCCCATTCTCCTTACCCACCAGGAGCCCTGGCCTTCATGCTCAAATAACTCATGCTGTCTGCCTCAGAAGTGTCCTCACGCATGCTGATCCTCTGTGTGCAACACTCTCCTACCTTCTCCCATGCTCTTTCTGTGGTAGCTCCTACCTCTCTTCTTGGTAGACCTTCCAGGCCTGCTGGCTCTGTCTCTACCATGTGCAACACTCAGCACTCTTGTCATTATATATTCCTTGTCTGTCTTCTCTACTAGCCTGTAAACTCCATGATAAGGACTACACCTATGTGTCTTGTCTTCTGCTGTATTACCATTAAGTTGTGGATGTGACAAAAGGCTGACTAATACAAGAGATCAGGGGAGGCTTCCTTAGAAGGTGATGTTTCTGCAAGATGGAGACAGTTGTATAGAGCAACAGTGAAAGGAAAAGTATTCTGGATATAGGGAGTAGCATGTGCAAAGGCCCTGTGGCAGGAGGGAACATGGTTTCTATAAGGAACAAAAGCCTAAAAGGACTGAAATATGTGGGATGAGTAGCGGGGCTGGAAGCAGGCAGAGGCAAGATCATGCAGGGCTTTGTCAACTAAGGTCTGTGTCTTCATCTAAGAGCGAAGGGTTTCAACACTGAAGAATTTAAATAGCAGTGAGTGGGCAACTGCAGCAGTGATATAATCAGAATTGCATTTTAGAAAGGTCACTCCGGCTTTCCTGTGGAGAAGGAGAAGGGCTCCAGGAGAGGTAAAAAGGCCAATCAGTGGTGCACAGCAGCCATGCAGGCCTGGCCTATTGGGGATAGAGGTCTAGAGTAGTGAGGAGTTTTTGAAAGAATATTTTCAAACCACATCACAGCTTGGTAGTAAAACCACGACCAGCACCCATCCCTGTCCTTTAAGGCTGCCTGTACCTGCTGGCCTTCTGCAACTTGGCCACCATAAGGAGGGGTTCCCAGGCTTCCTCCAGAAGTGCCTCTGCTTTCACCCGGCCTCTGTGCCCGTATTTTGTGCTGTGTCTTTAGGGGTGCCTACATGTGTGTTCTAGTCTGGGAGGCCCTGGCTGTCCCCATCTAGGGTATGGCTTTTTCTCACCGCAGTGCTTTGCATGCTGGGAATTGTAGTTCTGGAGCCAGAAATCTGGGCCTGCTCCCCACTGTGGTCTGGCAGGCAGCCTGGTTGCCATGGCAGCAGCTGGGCTGGAGCCACCGAACCATTTCATCCACAGCTCTGCTGGCTCTGAGAGCTCCCAGCAAGAAAGCTCGGGCTCTCGAGAGGAGGGGGAGGAGAAAGAAAGGGGGAGGAGGGAAAAACGGGGAGGAGGGAGGAAGGACCCTTTGGGCCTTCCCCAGAGTCCTGGGCTAAGCCTCACCCTGCTCTGGGGCTTGTGTACTGACTCAAGAGAAGTCACCAGCTCCTCCTCAGAGTGTGGCTCCCCAGCACTGACCTCCTTGGCTGCTCTGTTCATGCCAGTCAGCCCTGTAGGTTCAGCTCTGAGTGCAGCAGCCTGCACTAGACACACAGAGGGGAAGAGGCAGCCCTCCTCCCCAGGGAACTCGGAGCCTGCACGGAAAATAAGAAGATCCAACAGAATGACCTTAAAGGAAAAGTTCTGTCCACTTTTCCCCTGAAATGTCTCTAGAACCCATTCCCTGCTTTCTGCTCCTTGGCCACAGTCCTAGTTCATTCTATCTCCCCCAGAGAAGGCGTTCTAAAACACAGATCTTGTCCTGTCACACCCCTGCTTAAAATTCTTCAATGGCTCCCCTTTGCCCACGACTGGATCAAGTCCAAACTCTCTAGTAGGACCATTCAGGGCCTTTCAGATTCTGGCCTGAGGCTCCCTCCTGCCCAGAGATCCTCCTGTGCCCCCTCTGCTGCAGCCATCCAGAAGTTTCCTGGTTCCTTCTTCATCCCTCCACCTTGCGCTGGCCCGCCTCTGCCTGAGCTGCCCGCCCTTCCCTCCCTCTCCTACCTCGCAGCCGAGCAAACCCCACTGAACACCCCCTCCTTGGTGAAGTCTTCCAAACTTCTTCTCCACCAGGGGAGGAATGAATGCCCCGCTGCTCAGAGCTCCCAGAGCACTTTGTACATCACTTGCAAGCACTTATCACCTGCCTTGTGATTATTGTCTCTGTGGCTCCCTCTCCCTCTCTCTCTGCTGCATCTGAGCCATTCCTGGGTCCCCAGTGCCCGGCACAGCATCTGGCACAAGGTAGGCATTCCATAAAGGGCCAGTGGGATTGAACTTGCCAAAGGAAGGCTATGTGGGCTGTCACTGCTCTCTTCTCCCCCTCCCTGGACTCTCTCCCACTGCCGTTCCTTCCCTATGCTCCCTTGGGGCCCTGCACACCTTGAGCACTGAATGGCAGACCTGATCAAGTGGGGCCTTCTGTTCTGGGCAGAGATGGTACAACCACCTGCATATGGAGGCTGTAAGCCTCTTCATGTCACTTGGGAGTTGTATCAATGCACACCTGGGCCTCTGGAGAGGAAGTACCCCTGTTTTCAATGGAGCCATGATTTATGGACCCGGCTCCAGGAGGTGAAAACCTAATTAGGTTTCCCTGCTTCTCTACCTGGAGGCAGAATAATTCCAGGAAAGTCCTTCCTCCTGGGTAGAGACTCTATCTGCCCCAGCCTTTGTTCTGGGGCATCCTCTTCCACCCTTTCACCCTACTGCCTATGCTCTGGTCAGTAGTTCTGAGCTTCCTAGGCCAGCTTTCATGCAGTGAAACCATGACTACTTCTTAACACGCTGGGGGCCTTTTCTAGGTTTCTATTCTTTCTAAATCTCATTTTTTCATCATACTAGGATTTAAAAAATCCTTGCCTGCCTAGATCATTTATTTACATACACAGTCATTCATTTATTTACATACCACAAAAAAATTTTAGGTGCCTGTAATAACCCAAATGCTGCATTAGTCTAAGAATGCAGAGGTGAATCAGTGACAGTCCCTGTCCTCAGGAAGCTTATAGTTTATCACCCTTACAGTGCTTACAGGCACAGTGCAGACTATTAAGGGAAGTCTGGCCCAATCTAGGACATCCAACCTTTTGGTTCAATGACTATTTCTTGTTCACCTATGATACAATAGGCATGAAAGGTAGTGATAGGACCAACTCAGGCCCCCTTGCACAGAAAAAGCACAAATAGGTCTCTGAACAGCCACTGCATACTGCAATTGTGAGAGGGCCAGGAAAGAGCAAGATGAGAACTCTGTACCTGGAAACAGGGTTCCAGGCTCCCCAGGGCCTGAGGTGGACAGCCAGCATGCTTTGCTCCTAGCAGAGGAACATGAATGGATGGAGCCTTGGCAGGACTGACTGGGTGGTGTGGAAGCTGACTCGTGTTGTTCTCTTTACTGTAGCTGCTAATGGGCCCCCAGCCCTGAGCTGCCTCCTCAGGCCCTGTCTCTGCTCCAGTGGCTGCTGAGAATCAGGGTCTTGACTCAAAAGGTTTGGGGTTCCAAGGCCTGGAGGAAGACAAGAGGTGGTAGGGAGTGAAGGATAAGACAGGTAGGTAGAGATCCACTACTAACCCTTGATGTTTCCAGAGCGGAAGACTGCCATCTTGCTCTGTGAGTTGTGGGTCTAGTTCTTCATCCATAAAATCTGCTAAAAGTTGGACAGGGAAAGCTCTAAGGGCTGCTTGGCTTCTCTTACTTCTGCTGTTGGAACAGGGAGATGGTAGCGGGAGGCTCTGCAGAGAAACTCTGCCTCCACCCTCTGCCAAGAGATCTAAATCAGCATTTATTGACATTTTTCAGGATGCCCTCAGTGCCAGTGACATTTCAGAGACCTGCTCTCTGACAGGGCTGGAGGACACAAGGCTGACCCCAAAGCCCTGCTCCAGGCCCAGACCAGCTGTGACCACGGACCCCACTTGGGAACAAGCCTCATATTGCGAACATCAGCACAGCACCTCTCTGGGGTCAGTGCTGCCCTCACTCAAGGACCTGCCTTGCACTTGAAAATGCTGACTGGGTCAAGGGTGAGGCAGGTCTGGCTCAGAACCTTCTTTACCCAACCTCAGTGTCCTTCCTTCCCAACACCTCTACAAAATGGAGTCCATAATCACTGGTTCCTTCAGAAGGTACTTGCGGGCCTCCATCTATACAATCATGAGAAAAGGGAGGTGTTTCACACACTGTGGGTTTTTGTCCCAGTGTGAGGTATGCTGATGGGGACATTAAGCCCTGGGGTTGGGGGTGGAGTGTGAGAAGATTAACTGTCCAAAGGCGGGAGGAACCGAGCTGGTTTCTGGCAATTTCACAGATTGAAAAGAGCCACTTGGCAGGTAGAGGTTAACAGGGGGGATCCAGGGAACGCTTTGATGTCCCTGTTGATGCTGACAGATGGCCACAGAGCTGTGAGGAGAGTCAGAACCAGCCCGTGCAAGAAAAAGACCCCAACCCTCACTCAGTAATTCTACTCTTCTGTCTTAGGACTAAACGGAGGGCAGCTTACAAACCAGGTCAAGGTAGTTGTAAAATGCCTGGGTTTTGGGAACAGAAGAAGTAATCCTGGCTCCACTGGTCACCAGCTGTGTGGCTTTAGGCAAGTACTTAACCTCTCTGAGCATCATTTTCTTCATCTGGAAAGGAGGGTATTAATACTGCATACCTTGCATGTTTGTTGGGAAAATGAGAGAAGCCAATGTTTATAAAACACTAATGTGTGTAAAGCACTTAGCTCAGGCTGCCACGTAATAAGCACCAAGCTGCCAGGAGGCAGGCTGGGCCTCACTAAGAACTTTTTCTGCCTTGGATCAGCCTTATCCACAAAAACAGGAACCCTGCTCCCCAGCAAGTGTTTAAGCATTTAAATGTGTGCCAGGCACCTAGTGTGTACCCTGCTCAACATGGCGGTAAAGATGGAGAAAACTCAATTTTTACTTGGAGTCCTGATTTGCTGCTTGGGTGAGCTTGCCCAAATCTGAGTCTTTTCTTCCTCTTAAATATGACAGTAATCAAGCAAGGATCATGGATTGGTGTTAAATAATGTTTATTTGGTGCCAGAGTAACCACAAACATCATTTCCTAGAAAGAAAGTGAGGGAAAAAAATCCTTTGGTGAACTGAAGTCCAGCTGGGCATTTGTAAGTGTGGATGAATTAGACACAATGCGTCGTCCCTTGTGCTACAGCATGAAGGAGACATCTCACGTGTTCTAGCCACAAACCTTTAACTTGAATCATCCTTGCCATTAGATCAAACTTCTAGATCACAGGAAACACTGGGATAGTGTCACAAAGTAAATAAGAGCACAAGGAAGTAATTAGATGGCAGGAAGGAAGGATGTCATAAGGAAGCTGGTCAGGATGTTTCAGTGGATCAGTGCCCAAAACTGGGGGCAGACACCGTGTGAAGCAATTTGATGCACCCAATGATCAGATGCCATCCTTACATTGGTACTGAAAAACCCACTGTAAAGAACTTTTGGTGGGGTCAGATGGGGAAATTAATTTGTGTATTTAAAGAGATGAACATTTACTAAAATGGAAAAGACAGAGGTTGCTGGCTACAAAACAAGAGATGAAGTATTATGTATAATGTGATTGCATTTTAGTTAGAAGGTCCTTATATGTAAGAACAAGAACAGGAGAGATACATGAAGGCATTAAGGTAGGAAGAAAATAATGTTCTTATTTATATATTTCTGGTTTCTGTATTTTTAAATTTTTCACAATGCTTCTGTAATATATGAAATGTTATTTAGTAAATAAACTATATATTGCTTCTATAATGATGAAATGTTCTTTAATAAATAAAACAGGAACAATAGCAGCGTGTACCTTGTAGGGCTGTAATGATGTAACAAGATAACACCGAAGCACAGGACTTGGCATAAACACGCTGAAGGGCTTGGTGCCTCTAAGATATCCGTGCTGTTCCACCCCCAGCCACTGTCAGACGGAGCTGGCTTCTTGTGGACACTCTCCCGTCCCCAGGTCCCGGCATACAGCAGGGCTGTGCTGATGTTTGCTGCACAGATTCGTTTCCTTGGTCCACTGGTTGTTGGCCATCAAAGGAAGCACAATGGAAATGGTGGCCTTGGGCTCACTAAGTGTGGGTCCCCCGAGCCCCCATCCACAAAACCGTCACATGTGTAGGGATTATATCCCCACAGGCAGGAGGCGACACCAGAGAGGTAAAGCTGCAGTCATCTTTTCCAAAGGCCACAACTAGTCATGCGACACCCCTAGGTCAAAATCCCCCAGCTATTTTTGACCTTGGTCTCCCAAACTTCCACCTGTTTAAGCCTAAACTCTAGACCTAGGTTAAGGGGCTGAGGCTCTTCCACACATTCAGACTGGGATTAAGACTATCCCTAACACGGGAGAGGGTTTTTGGTCTGGTCTGAGGTTAGTTTCCTGGGTAAAACCTCAGAATTGGGACCAGGTTGCAGCTGTGTGTACTTCTAGAACCCAAAGATTGAGACTAGGTCTGAGGCTAGCCCTGTGTTGAGAGCTAGCTTAAGTCTTGGGATGCACCTCGGTCCCAAGGCAAGCTCTTGCCTGAAAGCTGAACGTGGGGCTGCCTGACCCCAACTGAGGCCCGGGTAGTCCCTGCCTAGGGGGTAAGCACCGGGAGCAGGCTGTGTAATAAAACAGCAGGGAGTGGACAGCGGAGCCAGGGGATTACAGAGTGGAGAACATGCTGGGGGCCTTTTGAGGAACAGTCGAGGCGCTAGGGACGTATCTGGGTGGCTGCAGCTCTTACTGGCACATGTGCAGAATGCAGTGGGGTTAGGAGGGAGGGACGCCCTGCCTGCCCGACCGAGGAGAAGGTTCGGTGAGTCCCGGGGCCTCCGGCACCCACTCAGGCCAATGCAGAGCGCGAGGGAGGAGCGCCCAGGAAAGGCTCTGGGGCTCTCAGCTCTGGAGAGGGGCCCTGGGAGTGTGGATAGCGCCCCGTTACTCCCAGCTCCGCCCCTCAGTGCCCGCCGCGCTCCTTGCTCATTAGGCCGACATATCCTCCTTAATAAAAAATACATGAGCAAATAAATAATAACAGCTATAACCGAGCGGGAAACCACTTTCCACTCCTTTCTATTTTCCTAGCACCTTCCTTCCAGCCTCGGCCCCGGGGGCGGCGGCAGGGTCGGCTGGGTCAGTCCATTAAATCGCCCCATCGCCTTAGCACGGCAGGCATTTCGGACTCAGAAGGGGACTGGTGACCAACAGGCTCTCTGTACCCCAAATATGCTCACCAAGGGGCGCTGGCCAGGAGGAGTCTGGAGAGGGATCTCTTCTCTCAGCTTCAAGAGAGGAAGCTCCAACCCCACAGCCTTTAGGGGTGTGGATGCATGGTCCCCAACACACAGAGACCTCAAGCCTGGGAGGGGCTAGAAATAGCATAGCGAAGGGACTGGAAGGTGCTACACCTAGAGGGTGGTAGGCGCAAGCAGGGGCTGGCGTTTGCATAGAGTGAGGGAGGAGGCCTTGACCTAAGTACCCAGAGGAAGTATACCCAGAGGAAAGATAATCATTCTTAAAAGGAAAACAAAAATCTCATCCTCCTGGCAGTCTTATGTAGCTCCCTTTCCCTGTCCCTTTGCGTTTCATATTTTTCCTCTGTCTCCACTGTACGTCCCTCCACTCCTTCCCATCCACAATCATCTTCTTTCCCTAGGTTGTTGGCCTGTCAGGTTCGCCAGGAAGAAGCGATTCTGCCCACGACCTATGTTTCAGGACCATGGAGAGCATCCCAGAAAGACGAGGCCCTGTTCCAGAATAAAAGGAAACTGAAACTGTTGGATTGCCAGCAAAGAGAAAGATAACAGGTGGGATGGACATGGAGCAGAGGTGGTGGCCAAAGGAAAGGTGCGGGTGAAGGACATTTCTAGCCTGGCCCCCTACACTGAGTTTCTCTGAATGGGGTGCTGAGAATGTTTGCTGGGGACAGGGCTAGGGACGCAGCTCAGCAGTGGAGTGCTTGCCTAGCATGCTGCCCAGGGTTGGATCCCCAACACAGAGACAAAAGAATTTGGAAACAAAGGCTTTTGGTGTTCCCTCCCCTCCCCCACCACCATGAAGTGAGGATGGGAGGAGCAGCTTGTCCTCAGGAGTACTGGTTCTGGAACACAGCCCTCACTAGGAAGCCCCAGGGCCCTTTGCCTGTAGAGTACAAACCTAAACACATGAGCAGACCAGCACAGAGAGCAGCATGCCCCTTGGACAGATGTTGGGGAAACTGTGTAGGGTGTGTTGTGTAAACACGAGAGCAAGAGATAGTTATAGTCCTACAGGTCAGGGGGTGATCAAGGGTAGTGAGAGTAGGCAATAAGGGAGCAAGGTCCTGTTAAGCCTGTTCTTTCTGGAAGTTGCAGGCTGCGGGTGGAGGTCAGTCAGAGCCTTCCCTAGCCCTAGCTCAGAGCCAGTGGGACTGGAAGTATCCTCTTCCCTCTAACAGCTCCCTCTAGACAGAACCAGGAGCCAGATTTCAGGAGCAGTCCAGATGTTCAGGGTAAATGCGGGGAAGTGGAGCAGATGGGGCCTGAGATTCCTGTGGGGGAAAGCAGGGGAGGGCAGCAGCTGGAGTATGTGCTGGGGCATGTGCTAGAGCTAAAGTTGGCTCCAGCGTGTGCCAGGGCATGCACCACAGTGTGTCTAGGACGTGAGACTTGGTCATAAAACTGCCTGGATAAGGAGCTCTCTCTATACCAGCTACTACGACCTGTCCTGTGCTAACTTCTGCTGTGACAGGGCCTGACAAATGTTCCTTCCAGGCTATGTGCTATGCCAGCATGCAGAAGTGAGGAAGATACAGCCTGCCCCTGCCCTCACCATTCCCCCCGCCACCCCGTGCAGGGCTTTGATTTGGACCCAGAAACCCACACCTCCACTCAGAGGCCAGAGTGGCCACTCCTGGGCTGGAGGAAGAAGGCCTTGCCTAGAAGCCTGAGTAAGATGGCCAAAGCAGTCCCCTCAGTGTCTACCCCAGGGGACAATAGCTCATCTCTACCCAGAGCCTCAGTCCCTGGCCATGGCATCTCTGCTGCAGTTTCCATGGTTTTTGGGAAGCTGTGGAGCAAAGCACACCTATGGCCAAAGTCTACAGCTAATGTCATTCCTGCCGGAGTCCAGTGGCTTTTATACGCACTTCCGCTTGGCTACATCTGGCTGTAGTCACGATCATCACACCAGCCTGGGAGAGTGGTGATGGCCCCACTTGGCAGATGAACAAACTGAGGTGCAGAGAAGCAGAAGTGTACCCTAAAGCACACCTCTGCCGTGGAGCCAGGGTCTGAACCCAGTCTGTATGACTCTCTTTTACCTCTTCTAAGCAGTGTAGCCATTCTGGCTCTGCACACCAATCAGTTGTGTAGCTCTGAACAAGAAGATACTTTCCCTCTCTCAGCCTCTATTTCCCATCTATGATTGAAAAGGTCCAAATAGCGTTATTTTGAAGAACACTTCCCATTCTGCTCTACTCTGATGTCACAACCACTCTAAGCAGTGAGGAGAGGCTGTGTGCTTGTAGTATCCTAGCTGGGGTTAAGGCAGTGCAGTCCTTGGGCATCCTAGGATGTGAGGGTGCCAATAG